AGTGGCTCGAGCACAAACTCGGTCAACCGGTACTTTCACCCCGAAGTCGACAAGCAGCCGTTTATCAACTACCAGATTGAGGACGACCACGTTCCATTCATGCGTCGCGGAGTCCCCATCGTACACTTGATTCCCGCCGAGTTTCCGCGCGTGTGGCACACGCTGGCCGACGACGGGAGCGCGCTCGACAAGGACACGATCATCAACTTGGCTCGGATCATGACAGCGTATTGTGTGGATACATTGCAGCTCAGGTGGAGTGTCCCCTAATCCATTCATTCATTCATTCATTCATTCATTAACTTGTCACACATGCGCTCTGTATTCTGTATTCTTTGTCTTTCTTGAATCATACACTACCTCCCAACCATCTCGTAATTCATTCTGGCCTGGCGCCTCCTCGAGTCTAATTGTTGCCGCTTGCACTGTGGTCGAGGGGCGGCAGACTACCGTGGCTGCCCGAGTCGACAATGATGCTCTTCAACACGGTGGAGGCAGTCACCGGATCCGTTGGCAAGATGGAAACTTGCGAGCACAGCTTGGCCAACGAGGACGAGTCGTCCAGCCATCCCTGTCGTTGTCGAAACATACATACTTGGTGTGAGTGACCTGGATCAGGCATTCCCTCATTCGCTCACAACATACCCGAATCTTGTTTCGCATCGTGGCTCGGCGATACTCTTTCCACCGTTCGTCCTTGGCCTGCTTGACGAATGCTTGCCATCGCCGAAAACATCGTCGCGGCAGCACTCTGTTTTTGCTTCACCAGTCAGCGAGCACTGATGAGGCATTGGGATTTAGGAAATGGCATACCGGAGAGCCATTTCATCGACTCGAGCATTGGCCGCCTGCTCAGATGCTTCACGGTCGGCCTTGTGTTGTGTCGCTGCTTGCTTCCAAGTGCGAATGACTGCAGTTCTCAGCCTTGCGTCACGATGCATGATTGCGGAATCCCACGCCTCGACTCGAGTGGCCAGTCCCTGTTTCCAGTGGTGCAACACCTCGACCAACGCTCGGCTCGCACAGTGAGCGTCCGCCATCTGCTCCCTGCCCTCCCACCGTTTCCTCATCACCAACACCCATCTCCTCCACGCTTCCTTCTTTTGCCGCTCCACTCGCCACTCCGTTGCTTTCCTCTCCATCATTTCCAACTTGACCACCGCCCGCTTCCACGGCCGAATCCCACGGTACTTGAGGGCCGCTTGCCGAGCAAACTCTATTGCTGTGGTCAGCTGCCTCTGCCGCTCCTCACGCTCGCGCTCCATGGCCTCCTTGGCCGCGCGGTCGGCCTCGAGCTGCGCCTGCTTCTCTTCCGTCTGATCCGCTCTTGCTCCTCAACGGCTTTGCGTGCTGCTTCCCGGGCCACAAGCTCTGCCGCAGCCTGCCTCGCAAGTCTGGCTTGCTTCAGGGCGGCGCGTCGCTGCTCGCGCTGTTGCATGGCTGTAAGGAATGACGGTGGTGGTGGAGGTACTTTTCTCTTGCTTGGCGCGTTGCTTTCGTTCGACTTTGTTGGGGCAGGCGGTAGTCCGTGCGTGTTGTCCGTGGGAATAAGCGCAACACTTGGAGTCGGTGGAGGCTCGGCCGAGGCTGCCAGTGATGTCAGTTCAAGTTGCGTGCTCATTCAGTTTCGAGAGCAGTGCATCAATCTTGCGCTTTCGATCCCGGTGCATGGCTTCCAGAGCAGACTCGTGCTTGCTCATGGTGACATAAGCAGTCCATGCGCAAAACATGCGAGAGAGTGTGGTCTTGCGGTGGTGGCGGGTGGCCAAGTGCTCGCGCTCGGCCTGCTTGCGAAGTTGTAGGATTGCTTGCTGGGATTCACTGCACAAAGTTATGCATACTTGTGTGAGAGCTCATTCAACACTCGAGAAATCATGGCGAAAAGGTCATATTTACCGATCGTTCCTCAGCTTGATGGCTTTTCTACACCATGTGCGTAGCCAGTTGCGCTTTTCGAACCAAACATGCCGAGTGGTGACTCGAGCGACCGCCAAGTGCGTGCGACTAGCGAGATGCCTCCATGCAAGAAATGCCCTCTGTTTGCATAACAGTGCCTGTGTCAAGTCGCTTGTTCTCGGATTTTCTCAAGAGATAGAAATGCGAATACACCATGACCATACCATGAGCACATGCTTCTCTCGGACTGCGCAATACTGCTCTACTCGCTCCAAGATCATGCGCTGTCTCGCTTCCCGTTGCTGGCGACGGGCTTCTTCTTGCTCTTTGGCTATCCTCACCTGCAACTCGATCTGCATCTTGCGGGCCGCTTCTTGCATTTTACGTTCTTCTTGCTCACATTTCTTTTGCTCCATGACCAATCGCTGAGTCTTGACATTGTCGCACAACTCGGGATCTGCCTCGGGTTCAACGGCGAGGCATCGCGCAATCTGCGCTTGAGTCATAGCGCGCATTGCAGAACGTTGCTGGTGGAGTTTGCGAAGCGAGCGATCGCGGCGAGCTCGCTCGAGCGCAGACTTGCCCGAGGGTGACGGGCCTACTGCGCTACCCTGTGGTGCTATCATGGTTCCGCACAGATAGGCTGTGGTTGAGCTGGTACTCGTCGACTGACAGCCGCGCATGGCTGCCAGGAGTGGGTCCAGATCGTCGAGCGTGACATCCACTGTGCCGGGAAGCGACAGGCTTCTTTGTGAACTTACTACTCGACTGCATCTTTTGAGACGAGAGAGTTGATGGCGGCAACTGGGTAGCCCTTGAGGACCATTCATACTCGCCAACAGCATCACCATCAGGCAGAATAGGTTCAAGATCAATCGGACAATCCATCATGCGCTGCATTGTCGGGTTGCTGTTCAAGTACTCGAGCCGAGCGAGATCGAGCTGGGGAAGGCTGTAAAGTGACATGGGTAAAGCAGGGTCTGGCATTGAGTCATAATGGTCGCCTACGAAAAGGTCATTGTGACCATAGTCTTCCATTCCTCTGTCAAAACTCACGGCGGAGGGTTGTCCTTTGGACGACCTGGTGTGTTTTGCGAATCCATTCGAGTACATTGCGTTGAGTCTCAAAATCTTTCACGTTTGCAACCTCATTCCACTCATTTCCGTCTAGTATCGCCGGCGTGCGTTATCGTCAGCGGGGAGAAAGGCAAGAGAGAGTGAGTAAACAATCGATCATCCATTGCACTTTGCGCTTCGAGTCGCCATTCGTAAGGCGTACCGCACGCCTCCGCTTCGCATGGCAACTTGCAAATTGGCGATGCACCACATATGTGTTCTCGCCATATGTCAGCTGTGTGTGGCTACACGGATCCACAATTGTTGAATCGGCGACCGTGTGCTGGCAGACGTGGGAATGTGACCAACAACCACTTGAGGACGACGCGTTACCAAGGGATGGACAACCAACCAACCAATCAACCAACCAACCAACCAACAGCCAATCAACCAACCGCCAATCAAAGCTAGCGATTGATCACAGCTGAAAGTGAAGCACAAGCACAGGGGCGACCGCCTCATGAGAAAAAATGTGCATGTTCCTCGATCCACATGTAGCTGACCCAATCCCATAAAGCCCGACCGACCGCCCGTCCAAATCGTCCCATTCATCTGAGCATCATCAAGTAATATCCAACGCAACTCACCAAACTCTCTACTTACTCGACGAGCACAAGAACATCCACCATGGGTCGCACTCAAGTTCAATCTGCCAAGCACCATGTCGCTCAGCAGCAACAGCAGCTGCAATCGGCCAAGACCAAGCAGGCCAACCAACAGCAGCACCAAGCTGTCGCTCGTCCCCAGTCTGGTCAGGCAAAACCTCAGCAGCAACAACTCCAGCAGCGTGCTCAATCGCCTCAACAGTCCGTTCAGAAGCAGGTGCCAAAGCAGCAGCTGCAGCAGCAATCCCAGGCTCGCCCTCAATCGCCAAACAACAACAACAAGTTGTCAACGAATGCCCAACCATTCTACCCTCGCAACATGCAACCGACCCAGACCTTGACGACCAACCAGTCTCAGGCTCGCCCGCAATCCGCTCAGCAACAGCAATCGATCGCGACCAAGAAGCCTGCTCTTCAACAGTCGCAGCAACAGCGTGTACAATCCGCTACACCTGCTCAATCCAAGCAACAGCAGCAGCAGCATCAGCAACGCCAAAATGCCCAAGTGTACCGCCCGACGCCCGTCAAGGAACACCCTGATGATGCCTTCTTGTCTGGCGCGTGGTTGTTTGACACGTCTCGCGTCCCACAATGGATGTCGGCTCAGCTTCCCAAGCAGTCGGCGTCGTCGCACTCGTCGACTCAACAGCAGCACCAGCTCAAGTCGAACCAACAGCTCGCGCAGCAGCGTCCTCAATCCGGATCCGCGACGGCCAAGCAGCAACAGCAGCAGCACCTTGCGCCGAAGCAGCAAAAGGCGAATGCCAATGCCAACGCCTCGGTCATCAAGGCGGGATCCGTCAAGGCCAAGAATGCCTCGCCCGACGATGCCTTCTACTCGGGCGCCTGGTTGTTCGATGCTTCAGTCGCTCCTCAATGGTTGTCGTCGCAGTTGCCCGTGTACAAGCAAGCCCAGATTCAGAAGCAGCCGCAGCCGCAGCAGCAGGCCGCGAAGCAGCAACAACAACCTGCCAAGCAGCAGCTGCAACAGGCCAAGCGTCCCCAGTCACCTCGTCGTTGATTCCTCTCAAGCAAAGCATTTTCTGCCAGTCGCGGTGAGGATCAGATGTTGAGTATTTTATACATTGACCATGTGTGCAAAGTGATGATGATACCCTGTCGTGTTTCGCTTGATTGTTCCTGGCTCCAATGAAAACCATTCTCTTCGCCTGTGTTCCGCCTGGCTTTCTCTTGATGCCAACTACCCACATGCTGGCAGTCTACGGAACATTGTAACTCGTGATCGCTTTGGTTGCGTACATAGGGTATAACTCTTTGCATCCGAACGCGAAATTACAAGGCGGAGGGACTCTCTGAATCGAAGGCCGGATCGGCGTTTATGGGTATAAAGGGCAGCAGAAAACCAGGGTTTTCAACCAAGAAGACACCTTGGCGGAGTGGTTATCGCGTTTGACTACTAATCAAATACCCTAGTGGTGCGCAGGTTCGAATCCTGCAGGTGTCGGTGTTCTTTTTCCAATATCTCAAGAAAGGCAGCCATGCTGTCAGGATTTTGTGTCGTTTCTTCTTTTCGCTATATCCGGCGATCTGGCAGCGATGGTTCATGGTGACCGCTTCACTCAGGCAACGTGTCGGGTGAGACTGCAAGGCCATGCACGCAACTGATGTTTATAACCGCAGTTTGGTTGACTCGAGTGTCAAAGATGTGTGTATTACAGTACCCCCACCTTGGTCTTCAGCTATGTATTTATGTTCAAAATTCGTTGAGACTTTTTTCCGCTACGCAACCAACTCAACTTGGGGGGGGGCAGGAAATGGCAGTGTGGCGCCTTTGGGGTTAATAGGTCGAAGAAAAGGGCAGCTCGACACAAGGTGACAGCGTGCCCGAGCGGTTAAGGGGATTGACTCGAAATCAATTAGGCTCTGCCTGCACAGGTTCGAATCCTGTCGCTGTCGTCATTTGCTTTTTGCCCTTGTTTTCATTGGTTGTTTTTTTTTCGTACAGAATATACTGAATGTCCTGCCGGACAGAGAAGCAACAAGCGCTCAGTGGGCCACATTTCTCGACCTACTCAAGGTGGAACCATCATTTGAGCTCCACCAATTGTCCCGTCAACCAGCACGGGCTGTGGCATCGTTCCAAAGCACGCCTGTGGCCCGCCTCCCTTCAGCTGGGCCGCGATTTGCTGCTCAACGGACCCAGGCACCGCTTGTTGATTCCCGCCGGCTACCACCGGCTCGGGCGGCAACACCACGAGCTTGAGCTTGAGCTTTGGCCCATGGCTCACCTTGGCTGTCAACACGTATCCAAGGTCTAAAATCTTGGAATCAATCGATTCGACGCCCATCATCTTTGCCCGAAGCCCTGCAATGGAATCGGCAAGCGTGTACCGATACTCGAAGCCGCGCCAGCCAGGTAGTACATTGACGCCAACCTTGTCAGCGAGGATCTTGTGCTTTTCCTCGTGCTTGTGCGCACCGGCAACGTACTTGACTTGACGCGCGAGCTTGAATTTGATCTGGTCAATGGTCGTGGCAGACGCGTGATTGTCGATGCGGACAATGGCCACAACCGGTCCGCCGCCGCCGCCGCCACCGCCAGCGACAATGGGTGGAATGACCAAGTGTGCGCCACCAGGGGCGATACCTCCTTGCACGAGCTCCATGGTCGCCTCGATCTTGCCACCCATTCCCATGGGACCGACTTGCTCGACTTCGGAATCCACTGGCCGTAGTGCCCTTGCTGCATCCACAGTAGCTTGCGGAAGCTTGCCATGGACCTTCATTTTGGTCTGAACATCGAAATCCAACTTCATGGCCCGATCAATGGTTGCCTTGAGGACATACTCGACTTTTCCTCGCTCGCTGTCAAACGACGACGGCAACCCCTGACCCGCATCTGCCGTTGCTGCCAGCGCCCCAAATGTGTACGGAAACACATACTCGCCCGCGTCGAGCTCCGAGTTGCCCACAAACAAGCCCTTCTTTTCGGATCCCCATAGGGTCAGTTTTTTTTCAATCAGCGGCTGCGACCCGTACGCGGTGCGGTGTTCCGTGTGTGACTGGCCATCGCGCATCACGGTTTCAGTGTAGTGAACGCTGGTCGAAACGTAGCCAAGTAACTTGATGCGGACGGCTCGCGCCTTGATGGGCGAGGTGACGACAACTTTGACAGAGCCAGTGACTTGGTCGCCATGGTAATACGTCGTCTGAATGATGAAAATGAGCAGGTTGAGCAAGTTGGATACATAGCAGTTTCAGAGTAGGCACATGCAAATAGTCTTTTGTACGCACCCTATCCTGAATGATTTCAATCGTGGTGTCTGGCATGGCGAGATATCGTGTTGGGGTGCGGAGAAAGTGGAGGTTCGAGGCCGGTGAAAATATCAATGCACAGAGCTGCGACTGAAGAAATTGGGGACGCCTGTACGTATTACTCCTGAAGGAGACGAGATGATGCCCGTTACTCCGGCTCGATAGGCAGAGGTTTCCTTCTGTTCACCTCAACAACACTGTGAGAAACACGGGTCAGCGATTGACTTCCTTGGCACAGCTTCGCTTTCGTTTGACCCAGGTTCACAGGGGCAAGGGGGTTGCGGCTCACGAGGTTCCAGGTCCTTCGAAACAGACATATTGTATTTATTTACATCCAGGCGAAAATGAAGGCTCAATTCACCACGCAAAATGGCACCCTCGACAAAACAAGTCAACCGCAATTTTGTCAACGAAGGCCACGCTCACACGGGCACGAGAACCACAAAAAAGGAGCGAACAAAAGGAGGCACAGATACAAATGCGATAAAGCCAAAAAGAAAGTCTAAAAGCAGACAACGAAAATCCAACGTCGGCTCCAACACCATCCGATCTACCGACGATGCGCTGCTGGCCAAGGTCGCGTCAACTGGACCAATGGCGGCAACGGCATAGCATGACGTGCGGCCCCACGTGTGCCTGGCGGCGACAAGGACCTTGTTCTTTCGGCATAGTACCCGCTCGCAGGCGCCGCGGCGGTGGCAGCAGGCACGGCCCAATCTGCATCCACGGGCGACGACACACTGCGCACATGCGCCAGAGCAGGCGCAGCACCAACAACAATTTCGTGCAACTCATACTCGTCGACGTCATCCTCGTCCCAGGCATGGCGTGCAGCCCGTTGTGCGTTGTCGTCATCGTCAAGCACCACAATGATGGACGACAAGTCGGTCGACACGTCGGAAGCGCGGCGCCGTGGAAACGCGCCCGCGAGCTCTGGTGTTGTTGTATGCCACTCGTGATGCGCATACCAATCCACAACGTGGTCGTCCGTAGTGGACAGTATGGAGTTCGTTGGGGGCAGGGGCATGGTTGCGGGCATGGGCATTGGCGGCAGCGGACACGTCAACGAAACAGACGTGGCGCGCGACCGCGCGTGATGTGGCGACCAAGTACCGGGTGCAGACGACGAATATCCGTCGACATCCGTGTCCGCGTCGGGATCAATCGCAGGTGAAATGGCAAGTGTCGCCGGCATGGCGCGCCCGCGTGCCTCGGACATGCTTGCCGTAGCGGTACTCGCGCTGCCTCTGCGCATGGTCGACACGCTCGGTTGCTTGACGAGCGGCGGCACACGCCCACGGTTGGCGGGCAGGCGGTACACGGGTGCTACAATGACGTTTCCTTCACCATCCACGACCTGCTTGTCGTCCTCATGGTCGCCTTCGCCTTCAGAAACAAGATCATCTTCCGTGACACTGGACGCGTGGCCGCCAAGGGCTCGGGCGGCGGCCCGAAGCTGTTCTCTGCGCATGCGCGCGGCGTGCCGCTGGGCGGCCATGTACGCCGCATACCGGAGCATGCCCGCGGGTAGCGATCGGGCGCGAGGTCGGCCGTCGGGTAGCAGATCGTCGGCAAGGGTGGGAGGTGGCGATAGGCGGACGGCGCCGTACTCGGCGACAATCATGGCTGGGTCGAGCACGTCTTGGAGCGAGGCAGTTGGGTCGGCAGACGACGATGAAGAGGACGTGGATGAGGACGAGTGCCGGTTGGACGTGTGTGACGTTGAGGCGCTGGAATGACCGTGGAGGTGGATGTGGTCCGTGGTCATGGGCAAAAACGGTGCGTGGCGAGCGGCGCTCGTTGGATTGCGTGGAAGCAAGTCCTTGCGGCGTGGGGCAACATAGGTGTCTGAAAGCTCCGTGTCCATGCTGCCTCGGTCCGACCCGACACGTATGACGGCTGCGCGCGTGGACACGGGAAACGGCGGAAGCGGCGGTGGTGGTGAGGCTCGACCGCCGGACTGGGACTGGAAGCTTGTCGACACTGCGGCGGATGAGGGTCCTGCAGCGGGCGGTACCCACGGACTGACTTTGCCCGCATCCGACCTCCGCCTCCGCAGCCGCATCAGCTCCCTGGCCTCAAGCGCCGGTGGCACAGGGCCATTTCGTGCCAACTCGACGGGTGCAACCTTTGCCTTGCCCGCGCCAGCTACGCCCGACAAACGTCCATCGAGCGACGACGCAGTCCATCCAGACACCAGGACGGTCGACCTGAGCAATCTCCTGGCCAACGCCTCCCTCTTGACTGGCACATGACTGTGACTAGAGGACCCATGAATCGCCCTCCACCGAGCCTGGCTCCTCAACCTCGGCACCTCATCCACGCTCACGCCCAACGCATATGCAATGGCGGCATCCGTGCCATTCTCGCCGCGTTTGCACGGGGGCATTCCCCTTGCAATCCACGCAAGCCAAATGGGTGACCGCTCCAGCGCCAAGTACTGGTCCACCAGATCCACACACGGACTGTGGCTCCGCGTGGGAAGCAAGCCACGGGGCGACCGGCGAATCCCGATGGCGCCCGCAGATGCCATGACCATGAGCAAACCGCCGATCGATGCGGCCGCCAACACGGTGAATTTTCCGCCGAGGGCCGCAATGATGGGCGGATCGCCATTGTTATTGGCACCGGGAGTCGGGTCGACGGATTTGTCGCCGACGCCATGCAAGTTTTGGTTAGGCTTGGGCTTTGTTGGCGTGGGCGGATGGGCCACCGGCGCGGTGGCATGTGCAGGGTCCGAGAATGTAGGTGCCGGGAATGTGGATGGAGATGCAGTGGCGGTGGCGTTGTGGGCAGCCATCGCGGCGTTGAGTGTTGCGTTACCGACAACAATGGTGACTGTGCCGTTGATGGTGAGCGTGTGCGTGGGCAGGGACGCATTGGCTGAGGACGAGAGAGTGCCGGTGGCAATGGACGAGGTGGCCGATTGTGGTAGGCTTGTGGGGATGGGTGTTGCACCACCGGCCGTGCGCGAGAGATGGCTGTGGCTGTGGATCAGGCTGGGAACATTGGTTGCGGAAATGGCGGATCGCTGGGCAGCGGCCATGGGCGCTGGGAACAGCAGGAGGCAGGCTGCAACGAGGAGCAGCAGGAGGAGATTGAGGGTCCGGTGGCAGGTGGTGGTGAACGGATGCATCTCGGCTGGCAATCTAGGGTGTGTCTAGCTTGTCGAATGGGTTGGGGTGTAGG